TTATCGCGATGATCCCATGCCTCAACTTGACCATCAGTGGTGCCTAAACAAGCCATCAATACAGAAGTGAAAAAGCTAAAAGCGACAAACTTACTCACCGCATACGAACAACTGATGAGCGTCTGCAAACTGACAGCAGTTCAAAGCCGATCCATTTGTTTGGAGAGGAGAAAGCCATTCACCCAACTCCAGATTCAATCGATAAACTTCGGAACTTCAAAAGTTAAAATTCAGCAGGAACTGGGAAAAATAACTGCAACTAGTTAGGAGATGAATAGTTCTCTTACATCTTACTGAGATGACGTGTTAAGAGCGCGTCCATGCTTCGCGATCAGATCGCTTGGATCAGCGCAATCTGTGACCGGGGCGCTCCACCCAAACGGTGGACGCCCGCGACGGCGCACTCAACTGAATCACACACATGCATTGCGTGAACACTGTGGGGATCCGAGCGATTAGATCGCGAAGCATGAACGCGCTCTTGAATAGCGCGTTAATGACAAAGAAACTCCTCCACTGTGTTATTTTTAGTGTAGAAGAACTTTATTAACGAGTTATGTGACGTCAGTAACGCGTCACCTAGTCAAAACATCAGGACAACTTCAATGCGAGAACTAAGTGCTTGAAAAAGAGGTGGAGACCTCAGCCCTTAGCCCGCCTTGCTCATCTTTGGTCCTGCTTTCCTATGGCCAAGCAGGTTCAAGGGACGACCAAGGCATGACCAAAGCATCGGATCTCCGCTCATTTTTTCTTTGACCGTCTAACATGGCTGTTTGAAGCTGCTCGAGTACCTCTCAACAGGTAACGTACTAGACGGCGTACCTGTGCTGCGTAAGTACCGTAAAAGCAAACCAAATAGTATGGGACAGTACCTTGCACCAACAAGGAAGAGGTCACTTCGTTCAATCGAAAAAGCCATATCTCTACCAAATCGAGGCATGCGCATACGAAAATATCGTCCAAACGCTGCGTGCATTTCGAGAAAACGATCCTCTTGCAACAGAACTAACTGAACACGATAATTAAGCATAGTAAATATTGCAAGTCAAATGCTCTACCTTCGAATAGTCGTCACTTAGAGGGATCATCTTGATTACGGCTGCATCGAGACCTCGTTGGAACTTCAGGAGAGGTTTTCCAGATCGTAACACTTTAACCATGACTTGTAACTACCTATAAATATATATTCAGTGCACATGAAGAACACAAACGTGAAAGCACAGTAACGCTGAACAGCTTCGGGACAGTTAGCAGTTCGGCTTGGAGGGGCATTTTGCTGTTTCTCATCTATCACTGCCGGAATCTAACGAGGAGACCCGCAAAATCCTGTGAGGCTATGCAATAGCAGGAGCTTTGTTTACCTCGCAAGAGTACAGGCTTCATCAAGGTAAGACGCGTATTCAACAGGAACTAGCAGCGAAAGAGCAAAATGCCCCTCCCAAGCCGGAAAGCGCCCAATTCTTATGAGTAAAAGGTAAAGGTCTGAACACTCCAGTTCCTTTACAGGGCGCGTCCTATATTTATTCTGTATCGTTGAGTGGCTGTATGGCCTATACAACGACCTAGGGGCAGCCGATGGACAAATCAATGTTTTGTTTTCCCCAAACAAATCGAGTGCGAAATCACCATCTCGCGAGGGTAGGAAGCCTGATTACTATGGGTGGAAGCGGATACCACATATGAACACCTGAACACGCTTTTGGCAAGCCAACTAATTGCCACTGCACTACCTACTCCTCCTGATTCCAGGTGCAACGCAGAAACGCGGAGTGTAAGGAAAAGTATATTACGGCCTGAATATAATGGTGGGTGCGAACTTTGGGTGCAACATGGTGGTGTAGACCTGGCGCAACATATGAACAACGTTCGTTTAACACATTCGAGGCGGCGTGTTCTCCCTACACAGTACACGCACGAACCCCTCTTTTCGGCCTATCTACACAGCGGCGAGACCACGCGCATTTTCCTGCACTTCTTGCGATTTTTATAATTCGCTCACAATTATTTACACAATCACATGTAAATACGAAGAAAAAATGCAAAAAGTGCCAGAGAAAAAACGATAAACGTGAGTTCTTGACGAAATGGCCTTCGCCGCGAATGTGTCAAGGGTAGAAACTAATAATTTGCTCTCGAAACTATTACAAAACTCGAGCAATATGGGGATCTCCTAAAGGGAACTTACCTGTTCACAGCTATCTTTCTTCCTTTTTTGAGTACGAAGGAGAATACCTTACCAGTTGCAAAAACATATCTTCCATCACGTGAAACATTGACAGTATGACTGACGTCAGGCATTTCAAAGTCTTGGATAAGCTGCACACGCCTCCGCACATCTACAAAAGTACTGTACAAGGAGAATACAACGAACGCAGGTAGCAGTACTGCACGATTTCAACGCAGCAATGCTGAGGAACCTCATAATGAAGGGCTTCACATGCAGATAAAGTTGGCCAAAGAAGCGGTCGAGGGGAGAGAAAGTAACAGTATAAGGTAAATTAA